CCCCCCCTTTTAGCAGCTAATAACAAGACTTGTTCTTCAGTAAAAACCAGAATATAACTACTACCGGTGCCATAATCAAGGCTCTGTGCTGACATCTTGGTAATGTTGGTCAAAATTTGAGTATCAATTGTCTGGTCGCGAAGGCAATTTCATGTTTTAGATAGATCTAGAACTTGTATTTTCGATCTATACAGTTCTGTTTGTATGCCTATGTTATAGTTAGGCTATACTTGGGCGTATCAGAAGGATTGAGAAAACAATGTTTCCCTCTTATGAGAATCTGGGGATCTTTAAGAGGAGATTTTCATAAACCAAAGCTTCTGGAGCAAATTAACCGTTTCCTGAGACCCTGCAAGATCGGAAACATGTTCCCCTTCTATTTCTTTTAATGACGTCTGACAGCTCACCGTGCAGGGGTCAGTGACCGAACTAGAGATGCCGAACAATGACTCATCTTCTCGACCATGGTCAGATGAAATCATTAATGTGAACTTCATTCACACAGAGAGAAGAGGAAATTATATGCATAACAATAACAAGGAGTTACAATTATATTCCTATCCAATCTTTTTCAGCGAGAAGCTTGTAACGAATAAAAAGTGTGAAAGGATATCGTTTATCTGATTAGCCTCGTTTCCTATACATAAGCCGCCGAATTGAATGATGAGCATGGAATTTTTATTTTCGGTGGGCTTTTAAAAACGTTATTATATTTTTCCTCTGTCTAACTATCTGCTCTAGAAAAAAGGGAGCCGAGGGGAAAAGGGGGGGGGGGGGTGACTGGCCAGTGCGTTTCCAGAGCTGAAGAACGAAGGGAACGTTGCGAAAGGAGAGGGAAAGGGGGAGGCAAAAGCTGATTCAAAGATGTTGATTGATAGATCACGGGTGAAAATGCAGTTTCCTGTTTGGAAGTTCCAAATTGCAAACATCAAAGAGTACAGACGTAGACAGGCCAGGTGGCTGAAATTTACGTTCTCGTCACTTCCGCACTTGTGCATACATCATAGCCAAGACTCGGTGGTGTGCTACGACTCAACTTCCTTTTCACATCTTCCCCTGGTTTGGGGGATTGTTTGGGATTTTTTGTCAGAACGGACGGGGACGCAGCAAAAGTGGTGGTTTGGGGAAGGGGTTGGGGGTGCCAGTAGCAAGTCCTTGTCGAACCAAAGGGTAGAACTGGGCAAACACCCATATTGCTTAACCGGATGTCGGACTCATTCATGAGTCATTAACCAATTTAATTCATGTCGCAATCCAGTTTCAGGAATATATGAACACATAAAATATGAAAAGCGAGTTAATCAATGACTTGGTGTTCTTAAAATTACCTTCACATTAGAATCTGGTTTTACCTTGTAAAGAAATACCGTATTATGGTTTGATCACTCGAATATTATAATGATTTCGTCGCAGGCAGACATATCCAGTTCAAAAAGTATAAAACTCGATGTTCGTTACCGCCTCCGGCTCTCATTGTATACAATATATGAAAACAGCTCATACGACTAATTAGGAAAGCAATGACGCCTCAGAAGAGACTCGAACGTTCTGAGAAACGCTAAAAAGAACAATATAATGCAAAACGTCAAACACGGCTTGATGAACCTTGGAGTAATTATATCAATAGTTCCTCCAAGTGATGAACCATCTTATTTTAGGATATCAACTCTTTTATCCAATTAGTATCAGTATCAGGTAAAACACATAGAACTTCTGTCGAGCGGGTTTATATGTGCGTTACAAATGCTGTTTTTTTATTATCATGATTGTTATTCTGATTAGGATTAGGATTATTATGATTTTTATTATCATTATTATTATTGTTGTTGCTATTATTATTATTA